GGCGTGTTCTAAAGCTACCACACCTGCTTCATCCCCATTCCCAGGGCAGGTTGCTGCCTTACGTGGTATGTAGGACTGTCTCCCACCAGACTGTTGGCTCCCTGAGAGCAGGGACTCTGGTTTGCTCTGGTTACCGCTGCTTCTCCAAAGCCCTGCCTAGTGCCTGCATAGACGAGGGCCCTGGAAGCATCCGGTGGGTGTGGGGCTGAGGGGAGGTTTCCGAGAGGCTTAGTTCCTCCCAAGTGTCATGACGGCAGGGAACAGGGGCCCCCAGGCTGGATGGGTCCGTCTGGCCACAGCTTCCTCATTCATTCAATGAACATTCCTGAGCACCTACTATGTGTCCTGGAGACACTGGGGATGCAGCAGTGAGCAAGTCAGCTCAAGGAGCCTGAGTCTGGTGGGGGAGGACAAGCCCAGGGCATGTGGTGACTGAGCCCAGGTACTGATGGAGCCTCCAGGGGGCCGCCTAGCCCAGACTGGGGGAATCAGAGAGGGCAGGGAGGGAGTAGCACCCAAGAGAGACCCCCTGGGGTCCCCCCACCAGGCCCCCTCCCCTACCACCCATTAACCCTGTGAGCACTGCTCCCCCCGCCCCCCATCCTTACCACTGCTTAGAAGCCCGCCACAGACAGACGGCTCAGCTGGTCCCATCTGTGATGCCTTTTTTGTGTCATTATACTGGCCACGCGGGGCTGTGCAAGGCACTGAACTGTGGGGGCTGGGTTTGAGGGACCCGGAGTGGGTGTGGAGAAAGCCCTTCAGGAACAAGACCTAAAGTAGCAGCTGTGGTGGCCACAGCGCCACCAGGCCAGGCTTGGGACCAGGGACTCTGGTGACCTGCAGCGGCACGTCCCTGCCCCCACCCAAACCCTCCCATTCAAGACACCCAAGAGCCCTGAGCACGTGCCCAGGCAAGAGCTGCCCAGGACCGCGAGCTAGCAGGCCCTAGCAGCCAGCAAAGTGGGGGGGCGGGGAGAGCTGCCGGGCCTGTGACCTCCAACGGCTCACCTCCTGCCTCTCGGGGCCTCCAGGCTGACTCCAGGGTCCCTCCTTTGGCTTATCCCCCTCCCAGTTCTGTGGAAGAGGGAGAGCCCTTCGAGTGGCCTGCCTCATGGGGTGATTAGAAAGAAGACCTGGAAGGAAGGCACACCGGTCCAGATCTCAGCTCTGCCCCCTCACCCATTGCATAGTCTCAGGAAGCTCTGAGCTCACATCCTCATCTGTAAAACAGGGGTCTCTCCTGTCTATTGCTGGGTAACTGGCTGCATCATTAGCGGCCTGAGACCTGTATAGACATGTGTTCTCTCTCATGGTTGTGATCAGGGACTCAGGAGATGCTGAGTGGGGCAGTTCTGCTGGGCGCCTTCCATGAAGCTGCAGTCAGGATGCTGGCTGGGGTGGCACTCATCCGAAGGCTCGACCAGGGCTGCCTCACATGGCTGTGGGCAGGAGGCCCCCAGTCAGCTGCCCCGTGGGCTTCTCCATGGGCTGCTTCCCCTGCAGCAAGTGATCCCAGTGAGTGAGGAGGAGGAGGCCACAGCGCCTCCATGACCTGGTCTTGGCTGGGTCCACAGGACCTCAGAGGTCACCTGGGTCAGCCCCACTTGGGGAGGCAGGGGGAAATGGCACACAAGCGTGAGTACCAAGAAGTGACAGTGATGCAGAGGGGTGTGGCACATCTTGGTGGCTGCCTGCCAAATGCTCTGACTCATCCGCTGCCTCATCTGTCGAGTAGGGACCATCACCCACTTCTCAGAGCGGTCAGGTGCCCTGCACGAGATGTCAAGGAAAGCCACAGGCACAGAGTTGAGCCCGTACTCCACGCTTACTGAAAGGCAGCCTTCCGTCCACTCCCACAAGTGCTGCAGGGACTGGCCTGCCCTCCTGGCGCCCTGCTGGCCAGCAGGGGGCCAGACCGGCTCCTCCTTTCCGTGAATGGGAACCAGTAACAGGCAGCACTTATTTCCACCCCCCCCCCCCCCCCCCCCCCCGCTCTCTTCTTCTTCTTAAAGGTTTTAAACACCTAATTTATTCCATCCATTAGATAGATTTTGTAGATTTAATCATTTTCACAGTTGGTGGCTCATTGGATACTCAAGATAAACTCCAAATGAAAGTATAATGGTGAGGACAAATGAGTTTTCACACCACAATGGCAGAAACCTGCTTGGGAAGAGGGTTTAAGAGGAACAAAAATACATACAGATATAATTTTTTTTCCTCAGCAGCCGCTTTTGCTGACTATAGTAGGTTACCACAGTTAATTTCACCAGTTTTGTTCATCTGTAAAATTGCATAAAAGTGACATTTTTGTGCTCATTATAGCAACTGCTGATTTATGGCTGGTAAATGAAGAGCTGGTCCCTTTTTTGTGGGACTCTCCGAGCGGCGCTAAGTGCCCATGAAATTGCTTGTATAATGTAGTTTAAATCCAATCTCAGAGAAAGATTCCCCCGTTGGCCAAAGTGACATTTCCATTCTCCACACCGAGTTTATTTTAGGCCACTTAGGAGGGGGCTGCCCCAGGCAGGGTCAGGATGGGGGCCTGTGGCCGGCCAGGGGTCAGCTGCACCTGCCCGGCCCCGTATTATGCCCAAGGGCTGGAGGGGCACTGCCCTAGTCTCCGTGGGCTGCTGAGTGCCGCCTGACTCTTCCCTCCCTGCCGCCACTGCCCTGCGCAGGTCAGGCCACATTCCTGCACCTTGGGGCAGAGGGAAATGACCTTTGCAACACGCATGCGCACCCCTGCCCCTCCTCCCCTGCAGCCTACCCTGGCTGCCCATGGCCTGGGGCGGGGCTCTCTGTGGGAGAGCGCTGCAGGATGTTTAGGGATGGGGGGGGCCAAGTTGTAATGACCACATACATCACCAAACGTGGCCAGTGTGCCCACTGGGGAAGGACCACTGCCCTGCGGCCAGGAGGCCCCTCTGGAATTGCCCCCCCCCCCGCCCAGGCCACCTCTCTCTCCTCCACATGCCTGCTCCAGGCTTCTCTCATTCCCTATTATTTACAGTTCCCACTCGGGACATGCTTCCTCACCTCTGGACCTCTGCCTGTGCTGTTTCTTCTGCCTGAAATATGTTGCTCTCACCCCTTTCGACATGGCCTTCACTGGGATGCTCTTTCTTCCAGAAAGCTCACTTTTCAGAGCCCGGCTGGGTGAGGATCCCGCCTGCAACCCCAAATGCCCGAGCCTTCCCATCGCAGCACATGTCTTGCTGATAGGCTGGGGGCCCAACAAGGGGCTGGGGGAGTGAGGCTCTGGATGGATGGGATGTGGGGTGAGGTGGGGTCTGCAGTCCACCCCAGCCACAGTGCCAGGACTCCCTGGGCTGGTCCGAAGGAAGGGCAGCTGGAGCCCCTGCCTGCCCCCTAGGGAGGCACAGGCAGATGGGGAGGGCGTCGTCAGCGCTCCCACCCAGAGGGCGCCTGGTTCTGCCAGCACCTCCACCACACACGACCTGTGAGTTCGCGGCCACCCAGGGAGGCAGTGTTCCTGGCAGTGTCACCTCCCATTTTACAGATGAGGAAACTGAGGCTCAGCCTGGTGAAGCCCCATTCTCAAGTCCCCCCTGGGAGTCACCGGTCAGCTCCAGGGGTGGCATGGGGCAGGAGAAAGGCAGCGTGTTGCGGAGACCTTGTAGGGGCCCCTTGCCCCAGGGCCCAGACGGGTCACTGCCTCCCAACTCCAACTATGTGCTCAGCTCCTTGACAGCCACCTCTCCAGGCCACCCTGCGCGACAGACAGCCATGATCCCCGTTCCACAGGTGGGGAAACTGAGGCTCAGTCAGGCAAGCCACAAAGCCCCACAACTAGGCAAGGCTCCCCCCAGCCAGCTCCAAACCCTGGAGCCTTCCCACCTGTCTCCTGCAGGCCCCCGCTCCTTTCCCTACCTCAGGAGGGTCCTAGGCAGCACAGAGCAACACCTCCGGCCCAGGAGGGGCTCTGGATGGAAGGGGGAGGGTTGCTGGTGAGCAGGGTGGGCACCAGTAGGACAGTCGTCCTGTCCCACACAGTGCAGCCCTACCATGACAGCATGCAGAAAACGCAGTGGGTACCACGCTCGCCTTGCAGGTGACAGGCAGGTTTGGGGACGGGCCAGACAGCCATTGTGGCTAAAATATCTCCTCACCTGCCTACTGATCAAGCAGGCGATGTGAGTAGCCAATGAAAGCCCATAGAGCCGCTCCTGTCTGTCTGTTGTTGGTTCACACAGCAACATGCTTAACTGTCCCATAGAGGTCAGCAGGCCACCATCATCCCATCTGACATGTGAGCAAAGGGAGGTGCAGAGAGGATAACGAAGAGCTAGGAGGAAGGGCCAAGCGTCAGTGAGGTGTGGCGCCCCCGGGACTCCTGATCTCTGTGGGGAAGCGTGGCCTGGCACAGGCCCATGGGCAAACTGTGGGGCCTCTTCTCCTAGAGCTGCATGTTCACCCGCCCGAGTCCCCGCCCTGTGCCCAGTCCCAAGGGAACTCACTGGACACACGCACCAGCAAGTGCGGTGGTATGGGCGTCGGCCCCAAACCGGAAACCGCCCAAATGCCACCAGCCGTAGGAAGGAGGAGTAGCCGGTGGCACAGTCCCGCACGAGGACCACACGGCCGTGAGGAGGTGCGAACCGCGGCCACCTGAGCGAATCTCACAAAACACCTTAAGCAGCAGAGGCCGATGTGGGTGTGCACGCGTGGCAGGATTCCCTCCCGCGTGTACAGAGGTCAGGACAGCTGTGCACTTGGGCAGAGTCGCACAGGACACTTCTGGGGACTGGCGGTGACCCATCTCAGCTGCAGCGCGTTCTGTCCATGAAGGCTCAGCTTCTCCTTTCTGTACTTTTCACCCAGTTCGAAGCTTTGGAGTTGAGAAGGGACACACGGAGGAGCAAAGGGGGGCGAATGGGGAACCGGACGAGGGAGAGGCAGGCTGTGGCCTCACGGCCTCCCCGGAGCATGGGACCAGCTCTCACCCGTGCTTTCCTCTCCGCTTGTCCCCACAGGCGAGACAGCCGCCAGCTCCATGCATTCGTCCCGCTACCCGAGCCCGGCAGAGCTGGACGCCTACGCGGAGAAGGTGGCCAACAGCCCGCTGTCCATCAAGATCTTCCCCACCAACATCCGGGTGCCCCAGCACAAGCACCTGGGCCGCACGGTCAACGGTTATGACACCAGCGGCCAGCGCTACAGCCCCTACCCGCAGCACTCCGCCGGCTACCAGGGCCTGCTGGCCATCGTCAAGGCCGCCGTCTCCTCCTCCGGCAGTGCGGCACCGGCCGGGCCCGCCAAAAGCGTGCTCAAGAGCGCCGAGGGCAAGCGGACCAAGCTGTCACCAGCCGCCGTGCAGGTGGGCATCGCGCCCTACCCGGCGCCCAGCGCTCTGGGGCCCCTGGCCTATCCCAAGCCGCCCGAGGCGCCTGCCCCACCACCGGGCCTGCCCGCTGCCGCCGCCACCGCCGCCTCCGTCATCCCCCTGCCTGGCCGCGGCCTGCCCCTGCCGCCTTCCAACCTGCCCTCCATCCACAGCATCCTCTACCAGCTCAACCAGCAGTGCCAGGCCCCGGGCGCCGCGCCTGCCGCCTGCCAGGCCGTAGCCGGTCCCCACCCCAGCCCGGCCAAGCACGGCCCTGTGCCCAGCTTCCCCGGCATGGCCTACTCAGCTGCTGCAGGCCTGCCTGACTGCCGCAAAGGGGCCGAGCTGGGCCAGGGCGGCACGGCGGCCTTAACGTTGGCTGGGGCCACGAAGCCTGCAGGGTACGCGGACGGGGGCCTGGATTACCTGCTGTGGCCGCAGAAGCCGCCCCCGCCGCCTCCCCAGCCGCTGCGGGCCTACAGCGGCAGCACTGTGGCCAGCAAGTCCCCGGAGGCTTGCGGGGGGCGGCTGTACGAGCGGGCTAGCGGGTCACCCCTCAACTGCGGCATGGGACTGCCCACCGGCTTCACTGTGGGCCAGTACTTCGCTGCCCCCTGGAACAGTGTGCTGGTGACCCCCACCAGCGACTGCTACAACCCGGCGGCGGCCGTGGCGGTCACTGAGCTGGGGCCGGGGGCGCCCCGGGAGCTGGCGGGGCCCCCCGTGGAGGCCCTCTCCGGCCTGCCCAGCAAAAGCGTGTGCAACACGGCGGCGCTGAGCAGCAGCCTGCAGTCGCTGGAGTATCTCATCAATGACATCCGGCCGCCCTGCATCAAGGAGCAGATGCTGGGCAAGGGCTACGAGACCGTGGCTGTGCCCCGGCTGCTCGACCACCAGCATGCCCACATCCGCCTGCCCGTCTACAGATAAGGCCTGCCCGGCAGACGCGCGGACAGATGGACAGGGCGCTGAGCAGGGAGGCAGGCCGCAGAAGAGGGTGGGTAGTGCGCAGGGGCGCCCAGCCTCGCCCTGTGCCCGAGTGCCCGCGGGTGCCCACAGGGAAGCCGGGCTGGCTGCCGCCACGCGGCCACCTGATGGGGAGCCTCGGGGCAACTTGGCTCCCCAAGGCCCCTCCCTGCTGTCATCGGCTGCCCTAGGACACGGGGAGGGCCCGGGACAGCTGCAGACGCCCGCCACTTCCTCCATCCAGGCTGGTGGAGGCAGGGAGAGAGAAACCACTTTAAAACAGGAATGGTTCTTTCTGGTTTTCCCGAGAGAGGGGCTCAGGCCAGGGCAGGACACTGGAGGAAATGTGATGGTCCAGAGTCAGGGCGGGGTCAGAACAGCCCCCAGGGGTCGGAGAGCTCCTCCCCCCACGGGCTCCCCAGTCTCCTGGAAAAGGAGCAGAGAGGCGGGGTATAGGAAGTTCCAGGGCCTGCAGCAACCCCCAATGGCCAATCCAGGTGAAGACCACTCTGAGAGGCTCCAAGGACCACCACTCCCCTGCTCCTCCTCCTCTAGATTCTCCTTCCCCCTCCCATTTCTTCCCAACACAGAATTATACCCCCATCCCCACTCTCCAAGCCCCGTACTACCACCATCCCCCTTCTCTCCACATCTTACAGAGCTGCTGGGCACAGCCCTCCAGGCTGTGCACTGCACAAGGGCACCTCATCCAAGGAGACACCATTTGCATCCTAGACATGTATATTTATTATGGCAGTTTTCTGAATCTTGAGGAAGGGGCGCCATTTTCCTATTCGCACAAAGGCACCCCAGGGGCTAACAGTGGGCCTGCTATCTTAGGCACTGGTCAGAGGGACCCTACCCTGCCTTCCTCAGGGGTTGTCCTCAGAGCCAACGAGGAGGCAACCTACTGGTCTTCATTGGGAGATCCAGTCCAACGCCTTCCCTGCAAGCTGCCCTCCCAGGCCCGCCCCACACCATCAAGGGGGGGGGGGGCGGGCATGGGGGCAGGCAAGGACCCCTGTTAAGTCCCCAAGGCTCGAAGTCCCCCAGTCCTGGCCCATCCGGCACTCCGGAAGCGGTACTGTATCTCTCCAAGGCCTGTTCGAGCACTAAGTGCATTTACAAATCTCTGAGAATGTTTTTTTTTTATACTAAAATTGACCATTATATTCTACTGTGAGAAGTGCAGTCTGCACTATATTGTTTTAAAAACGAAGAGAAAGAAAAAAAAAGGAAAACACAGATGGTGTCTCAGCTGTGGAATTGTTTTGTAGCTCTTGTTTTGTTCTGTCTCCCTTCCCGCCCTCGGGAGGAAAACGGGCTGCCTTCCCTGCAGCCGTCCGGGATTGGGGCCCCGGGGCCCCAGGGCAGCAGGCCAGGAACCTTCTGGCACCCACCAGCCACTCTGCATTCGGGGTTTCGTTTACTTTTCCAGCTCTTTCACGGCGGACACTGTCATTTACCCTGTTTACGTGTCCGCACAGGCAGGAGGCCACCGGGCACGGCCAGCGACTCCTGTACAGAGTGGCTGAGACGGACCCGAGCCGGGGCCCCTGGGCCCATTCCCTGGATGGTGCAGGGGTGTCTGGGGGTGGTGTCTCCCCGCATCAGGAAATGCCTCCCCAGCTTCTCTGTGTCTGACACGCTCAACCTTCCTTGGGGCAGGGTGGCTGCAGGCAGGCCAAAGTGGCTGTGGCAGTGACCTTCTCCCTGGCCAGCCCCAACACACACCCACCGCAGGCCCCGGTTGCCCGGAGATCGGCAGGAGGCCATCGCACCCCAGGACCCTTGGCATTTATCAGGCACTTAACTTTGCGCTGGGTGTTTTCATGTACACTGTACCTCACCGGAGCCTCCACTTCCTTACAAGGTAGTAGGTGTCTGAGAGGAAGGAACCGAGGCTCAGAGATGTTGGGTGACCTGCCTAAGGTCACACAGCAATTCTGAAAAGTTGGGGTTTGGCCTCCACAGCATGGACTCGTCTTCACATCCTGTCTCTGCCCTATCCCCTGGCAGGGAGGAGTTTGATTTTGTTGTTTTCAGTTTCTAAATTATTTTTTAAATGTTTTTGAGAGGGAGAGCGAGCTGGGGAGAGGCAGAGAGAAAGAGAGAGAGAGGGACAGAGCTTCTGAAGCGGGCTGTGTGCTGATAGCACAGAGTCTGTCGCAGGGCCCGAACCCATGAGCTGTGAGATCATGAGCTGAGCCCTAGTGGGACACTTGCTGAGCTGCCCAGGCAACCCGCCCCCCGCCCAGTGTGTTTGATGCAGGCCTCCCTTCCCCTTGCTCGGAGCCCTACGTGGGTGCCAGGCGGGACCCAGGCCCTTCTGCACATCACCCTCAAGCCCTGGGAGCGGCCTTGGCGTCCTGCTGGGCGACCAGCTGAGAAAGTGCTGCCAGGCAGGCCTCTGGAAGTGATCCTAAGTGGGATGCAAACAGCAGTTGACAAAGCGCTTTTCTGACCTCCCAAAATGGAGCCTCACAACAGTTGGATCAGGTCTGTAACGATCGTCCCCATCTTACGGATGAGAAGGAAGAACCTGACGACGGCCTCACGGACGGATGGGTGGACGAACAGTGGGTAAGAGGGAGCTGGGTCGTGGCATCAGGCCCCCACCCTGGCTCAGGCAGCCTCCGCCCTCACACAGCTGCAGCCTGCCCACGGCCCCTGGAGACAGGCAGACCAGCAGGCCCAGCCTCTGGAAGGAGCTAGAAGCAGGCTGGAGTCGGGGCTTTGCTCCTCTGGGTGACCCTGAACCAGACAGGGAATTCAAGGACAAAAGCACCGTTCTGGAGTCTGGGAGAGGGGCAGAGCCACAGCGTCTAGGGCCAGGTTCAGGGCTGGGTGGTGGCCTGTGGCTCGGCTGTTCCCAGGGGCCACCTTCATGCCAGCGTGGTCTCTGGGGTGCCCAGGTCCCCAGGCCCAGGCACGCTGGGCATCAGGGGAGCACACGGAGGCAAGGCTGGGGCCAGCATCCAAGCCGCGTCCCTCCCATTTGCAGAGATTTGGAGACTCGGATGGAGGGCCCGCCTCCTCTTTGGGAGGTGCGCGTGGGGTGTGGGGCCGGTGCCCCCCAGCACAGGCTGGGCCAGGCCCCGGGGTCCGGCTGGGCTTCTGGCCCTACCTCAGCACCGGCTCCCCGGGCGCCTTGGCCCAGCTCCTTCCCCAGAGCCTAACTGGCTGAGCACAAAGAGCCTTCCGGAGTCGCCATTCCGACATGCCGACATGCCGCCAACAGCAGTGTGCCCTTAATATCGTTGCCTTGCAGCACAGGCGATGACCACGTTACTATCAGTGCTGCAATCGCCCACAGTCACCCTAGGCACACCCGTCACCGGGCTCGGCGCTAACCAGTATTAGTCGTCATGGTCATTGGCCCCCACACCGGTGCACCCCCCCGTGTCCCGGGTGAGGCTGCCCAGAGTCAGCTGAGGACGGAGGGTGGAGAGGCAGCTGGACAGAACCCAGGCCTGTCTGATTCAGAGTCTGACCTGTGAACTGCCACACTTTGTGGAGAACGGTACACTGCCACCGTGCCCCCGGTACAGCCACTGGCTCCAGGACCCGGGTCCAGCCTGGGGTCCCACGCCCGGCTGCAGGGCGGCATGCTGGGGGAAGGGGCGGGAAGGGGGGGGCGGTCTGCCTTTCTCGGTCTCCAAGTCTCTCCTGGCCACACCCGGCTTCTCCTCCTCCATTTAGCTGCCTTGGGCTCACAGTCCGAGGAGCTGACCTGTCCCACACACAGCCACACGAGGCTGGCCCAGAACCTCGAGACTTCTGGCCACTTACTTCGCTAACCAGGGCTACAAGATCCCTCCACTTTACAGAGACATCAGAGCTGCCCCAGAGGGGCCTGAACGCTTGGGCGCATATTTCAGCGGAGGGTCTGGTACAGAGGACACTTTAAATAGACACCCTTCACTCCCCCATGCCCCTGACTGGGCTCTACCTTCCAGGCCCAACTAGGGGCTGTGAGGGCCCTTTAAGGGAGCCACACAGTGGGGCAGGGTGCACGGGGAACACCCCCCACTCCCACCCCCTCTCAGCTGGAAGCCCTACGGTATGTTCCAGGTCGTATGTTCCAGGTCGCTGGCTGCTGCGGGCCAAGTTCAGGGGTTGGCCCTGTCTCAGTTTCCCCTCTGCGGAAGTGGGAAAGTGCCCTGGAGGCTGGCATAGGAGTCAAGACAGCACAGAGCTACCCTGGATGTCTGTTTAAATCACCACCATGGCCAGCTGGCTAGGCCAGCGGTGGCAGGAAGGGAGGAGGCCGGAACACTGGCTTCAGTAACTCTTTGACTCCACAGGTGCCCCTGTGGGGGACTTGTGTGGCCTCCCTGAGCCTCACTTCCAGATCTGTCAAAGGAGGTCGTGGCATCTGAAGGACGGGAAGTCACCAGCTGATGTGGGATCAGAATCACGGGACAAAAGGGTCCTGTGAGAGGGCAGTGGGGTCTAGCGGTTTGAGGATCAGGCAGACCTGGTTCCACGGCTGACACTGCCCCTCACGAGCACGTGGCCTTTGGCAAGTGACCACCCCTCTCGGAGCCGCCTATTTCTCCCCTATAAAGAGACTGATATATTACCACATTACCACCATGTGCGGCTGGACACAGGAAGCAGGTGATCAAGTCCCCTAGGGAGTAGAGCCTGCTTTGGAGAAGATGCCCCAAAAGTTAGGGGTGTTATTTCTGTCATCACTTATGCCGGCTGCTTTTACCTTGGAAAGTGGATTTTCCAGGTAAAAAGAATTCCGGAAAAACAGATGCATCCTCCTCCCCCGCACCTTGGAGAGGCCCAAATCATATTAGCATATTAAAGGCTCTGAAAAGTCCTGCAGGCAAGGCATTCTTTTAACTCACCATTTCCCTAACATGTTTTAGTTCTTTTTCGTAAAGGTTTATTTATTTACTTTTAATTTTCTTTAACATTTATTCATTTTTGAGAGAGCGTTTGCAGGGGAAGAGCAGAGAGAGAGGGAAACAGAATCTGAAGCAGCCTCCAGGCACGGAGCTGTCAGCAGAGAGCCCAACGCAGGGCTCGAACTCACAAACTGAGATCAAGACCTGAGCTGAAGTCAGATGCTTATTAACGTTTATTTCTTTTGAGAGAAAGAGACTGAGCACAAGCAGGGGAGGGGCAGAGAGAGAGAGAGAGGCTCCAGGCTGTCAGCGGTCAACACAGAGCCCCACACGGGGCTCCAACTCATGAACTGTGAGATCATGACCTGCGATGAAGTCAGATGCTTAACAGACTAGCCACCCAGGCGCCCCTATGTTCTTTATTTTGTAAATATTTTTTAAATTTAGTTTTGAGAGAGACCCGAGTGAGTGGGGAAGGGGCAGGGAGGGTGGGATGGAGGATCCCAAGTGGGCTCTGCACTGACAGCAGTGAGCCCAATGTGGTGCTCAAACTCAAGAACTGCAAGATCATGACCTGAGCCGAAGTCGGTTGCTCAAACAACTAAGCCACACAGGTGCCCTTATTTATTTAATTTTGAGAGAAAGAGAAAGAGGCATGCTTGCGAGCAAGGGAGGAGCAGAGAGACACAGAGACAGAGAATTCCAAGCAGGCTCGACGCTGTCAGTGGGGAGCCCAACGCGGGATCGAACTCACGGACTGTGAGGTCACTACCTGAGCCAAAACCAAGAGTCCGACGCTTAACCGACTGGGCCACCCAGGGGCCCGCCCTCACTTTTTTGATTACCTAAGTTTTTGTTTCTATCCACTGATATCCCAAGGGACAAATACTTGGGGAAATACTGAGTCCTACCTCTTGTACTGCAATTAGGGAAACTAAGTCCTTCTCTCTGGTGATGTGAGGCCCTCAGTTTCCCCGGTTACAACACAAAGACAAATTAATCTGTAGCAGAGCAACGACTGGAATCCAACCCTGGCCTGCAGTCACTGGGCCTCAATTCCATGGCCACTACATCCTGTCAGTCTTTGTCCACCGTGTTGAGCTAGGCCCAGAGAGGGGAAAGGACCCCCAGGACGAGAGGGGGGAGTGACAGGTGGGAGTGAGCACCCCTATTTTGAAAATGACAAAAGTGAGGTTCAGAGAGGGAAGGCAACTTGCCTGCAGGCACACAGTGACCAGGGTCTAGACTTACCAGAGGCAGATCTGGGCCACCTTCTCTCCTTGTTGGGAAGTGGTGGGACACCTAATGGGGAGCTCAGCGAAGGGGTTCCTCCCGGCCAAGCTGGCTAGTTCCAAGTTCCCTCTGGCCTCCT